TTTGTTTTTTGTTGTTTTTGAATGTCCAGAGGACCAGATTGAACTTTTTTGGATAGTCTGACATTAGCCTCCAAGACTTCTTTGTAGTACAGGCAACGTTGTTTCTACACGTCTTGTTGTATATCAATTTTGTAACAACCGTACTCTAAAAATCACACCATTATGTCAAACAGGCTTTTTTAAATTAAGTCTTGCTCAGGAATTATAACAATTCAATTCCAAAATACTTTATTAATCCCAAAGGGAAATTATTTGTTGTTGTAACTCGTTATCCTCGTTTCATTAAGAGATGTTATAGATACTGGTGGCTGTAGACAGGAAGGATCTCTTGTAAAGGTCCATCCCACAGTGGATCCTAAGAAACTGGCTGCAGATGCCGTCCGATCCATCCACCCAGTCTCGGCTGGCCTCTCGGTTCCCCCAGGCTGTAGGACCTCCCAAATGCCGGGGAGAACTCCTCCCAGAGCAATGGCCACTCCTCCCAGCAGTCTGCCAAGCTCCTCGTCGCTGCAGATAGCCAACTGTAGGTGCTGAGGGACGATCCTGTCTTTCTGCTGTCATGAGCCATGCTTCCTGTTAGTTCCAGGATCTCAGTGGTCAGGCACTCAAGCACAGCTGGCAGGTAGATGAGAATGCTTCCACAGAACATCCTTTCAACTCATTTGAGATTTGGGGCTGTAGTTGAGATATTATTTGAGCTTTTGAGATGTTAATCAGCTGCTCCTGGTTGTAGAAACTGCCTTGTTGCCATGGTTACGCATCATAACAAATGGCCAAAAAAAAAAAAAAGTTTCAGTAAAAATCCTTCCAGCTGCACAACATCTGATACCAGAGGAAACAATCATCCAAAAAATAAATTTGATTTACAACCAGAAAAAGAGGAATTAAAAGTTTCCAAAAGCAAAATCTCAGAATGAAAGTAACAGAGCTGCTCCAACATGCAGCCACCTTGAGCGTCGCAATTCTAGAACAGACGTTCAGCTATGTGGAATATTCTATTCTTTTTGTCACGCTAAGTAGACATACACATTTTTAATAACTCTAAATTAGAGTGATTAGGGAATTAAGATTTACCAGCAGCTTCAGCTCTGTACAGGCCTGGTACATTAAGTGAAATGCAAAAACGGTCACACAAGGTTTGGTGAAAACCCCAGTAGAAATACCTTGCGCAACAGTTTTTGCTTTTCACTTAATGTGCCAGGGTTGTGCAGAGCTGAAGCTGCTGGTTTAAAAAAAACAAACATGGAATTTGAAAGAGGAAAAAAAATCATTTTAATGCCCCATGTTCTGAGGGAGTGTGCAGTTTAGACTTTAAATGAGGTGAGACAATGCAGTGACGTTAGGATAGATAACTTGGGTGAGTCATTATTGGAACAATACTGTTTAACCTGTAAACAGGAATGTGAATGCAATATCTTTTCTGTAACTCATATAAACACTATAAATACAGTAGTCCCTCGCTACTTCGCAGTTTGTTTCTCGCGGATTCGCTCTATCGCGTTTTTTCAAAATATGATTGGACATGACACAATTGGCTGATTGATGGATGAGCCATGGATTGTTTATTTAAAACTAATTATTTAAAATTATTTTTCACCTGGGCAGCACAGTGGCGCAACTACTGGTAGAGCTGCTGCCTCTCAGCGAGCAGGTCCCTGGTTCAAATCCTGGTCTGGGGGACCTTTCTGGGTGGAGTTTCCATGTTCTCTCCGTGCATGCGTGGGTTTTCTCCGGGTACTCCGGTTTCCTCCCACAGACCAAAAACATGCATGTTAGGCTGATTGGTAACTCTAAATTGTCCCTAGGTGTGAGTGAGAGAGTGAATGGTTGTTTGTCTCGTTTGTCTCTATGTGGCCCTGTGATGAACTTGCGACCCATTAAGGGTGTACCCCGCCCCTCGCACAATGATTGCTGGACATGGGCACCGGTGACCCCTGTGACCCAAAATGGAAGAAGCGAGTAAAGGATAATGGATGGATGGATTTTGCACCATGTGTGCAGCTCACAAGTGCAGGGGGAAGCTCCCTTCTGCAGCCGGTCATGATCTCCTTTTCTGCCACGCACACACATTTCTCCTGCTGCATCGGCTTTGTGAGGGGTTAACCCTTTCATGTCCAGATGCACCGATCGACTTTTGTCTTCCAAATTAAAATTCAAAGTATGTCACATCGTAAAATCGCAACATCTAAAAGTGTTAAAAGTTATTTTAGAACTTCCTTGTTCAGTTGTTTCAGTGTAATTGATCAAGAAGTACATTTCTGCTCCGTGCAGCAGAGCTGCGTTAACCCTTTGACGTCCTGCTGCACTTCTCTTTTCTACAGTTTAAATACTGTAACATTTTAAATAAACAATCCGTGCTGCATGGATTGTTTATTTAAAATGTTACAGTATTTAAATTTAAATTCTTTATTTAAGGAGGGAGATTGGGAGTAACAGGTGATTGCAGCCTGGCACATGTCATGACAAAGTCTACTGAACTTAAACTGAACTTGGACTACTGTATTCGCAGTTTTTCACTTATTGTGGGTGGGGGTGGTCCCTAACACCCGTGATAAACAAGGGACCACTGTATAATGTCTTTATATTCAAGACGAAAAGTTTGTGCACAAACAACCAGAAAGTTTAGTCGATTTTAGTTATCTTTTCAAGTTGGCAGATGTTGCATTTACTGTTTAGACTGTAGAAATGTTTTACTTGGCCGAATTATTCCTCTTGCTCCTCTTTTCATACCGTGCTGCTATAGTCCAGAAAATTACAAACCCAGCCTGCAAATATGGAGTGCCTTTAACTGTGAGGAAGGTTGGAGGTGGAGCCAAAAAGCCACCAGAGAGGAAAGCAGCTGTAAAACACAAACCGGTTAGTGTGTTAATATTGACTTGAATTTTAGCCCTTGATGCTCTTGAGGTTAAGCTCATTGTCCTAAATATCGGAGGCCTCTCCCTGTGTTTGTGGTTATGCGAATGTTTTCGACATCTCACTGTATCGGCAAACTCTGAAGTCAAGTGTCATGTCGCTTAGGCCCCTCTCCCAGCAGCTCCTCAGAGAAGACTCAGCCAAGTGGAGGAGGAAAGAAAAAAGCACAAGGTACAGCTGAGTGCCCCGTATAACTTTGACCTTTGACCTCCCTCCGTCTTCTCTCCACATGTGGTTTACTTAGCAGTATTTTCAGTTTTTTTCCCTCCCATTAAGCTTGTTCTTACATTCCACCCCTGATCAATTTGAAGCGTTCTACCTGAATTAGTTTTTTCTTAACTTGCCCCTTTTCCCACCTTGCCTGCCTGCCCTCTGACAGAGCAGTTCTGCAGCTGCAAAGACGATTTCTGAAGATGTCTTTTTGTGTTTGAGGTGCTTCTGTCTTGTCTATAGGAGGGCATCAAAAAGAAAAGGATGGAGCTGATTGAGAAAGAAAGAAAACAGAAAGAACAGGTGAGCATGCAGTTTAGTCTCTGTATCATTTCTAAGTTTTTGTCCTGTATAGTTTTCTGATCTCCACTGTCTTTAGATGTTCCTGATGAAAGCAGAGCAAGTGAAGAGATACGAGAAGGAAAAGGTGAGAGGTGATTTTCCTCAAAAACTTAAGGGCTGAAATCTGATTTTATATCCCATCAAAAGATTGAGGCCAGCCACAAAAATCATTATGTTACTCAAACACTCCCACCAAACACTAAACAATTAGCACCCATGATTTTTTTTAACAGATCACTCGTATAAACCAAGCCAGAGAACAAGGCTGGAAGCACGTATTGAGCTCAAGTGGTGGTAGCAGCCCTGAGAAGATGGTATTGTACCTTAGTACAGTTAGATTGTTTTCTGTTTCCTGAAAATGTTATAATTTATGATTATTTTGCTTAACAAAAAGGCAAATTAGTTCTTGTGTAGTTCCTATCTGGCTCATAACAGTTCTTTATATTTAGTGTTGTATGGGATATAAGAGGCCTGCAAGTGTTGCTCCTCCTGTCCCAATCTATGTTTTTGCTCCTGCTTCAATCCTGATCCCCACCAAGAGACCATATGAACACTACCACGCTGCTCTGGACCAAATGTCTAATTCACAACATAAAACCAGCAGGGAGGGAGTCTCAGCAGGACCTGGCAGTCCCAGTCTGTAAGTTGTTGTTTCATCTTTCTTTAATTCAGTTTGTGTTGTATTAAAAATAAAAGCAAAAAAAATTCCTTTTATTTTTCAGAGGACTCCCAGCTGCTGCAGGTCCAGTTCTGCCCAATGGCCCCGCTCAACACCTGAACCCAGAAGCAATCAAGAGAGAACTTCACAAGCTGCAACATGTTTCAAAAAAAGCCTATATTAGCCGGTGAATCAAGCTGGAAATTACTTTGAAATTAAAAGGAAAAAAAATCTCTTGAAAGGTAGCTAAAATACTTCTTGTGTTCTGGTTTCAGGCAACGTGGTCAGATGGTATCTGAACGGGCCTTTCAGATTGAGGAGTTTCTACAAAGGAAGAGAGAAGCCATGCTCAACAAAGTTCGTGCTGAAGGACAGCTGGTATGTAGTGTGAGCATGGTTTCACTTGCGCTGTATTTTTCAGGCTAACCTCTTGTTTAAATGTTAAAAATGACTTTCTGCACACCGGGAGATAGATAGATAGATAGATAGATGGATGGACGGACGGACAAACAGTCAGTCAGTCCAATCTTCTTTAATTTTTTGTCTTATAAATAAGCCGTTTTTTGGGCCAACACAAATCCATCAGATGGGACATGTTTACAGCTGCCCTGTCCTACTGGTAGAAGTGTACTTGGGAAACTATACTAAAGCTAGAATGTACATCATATTCACTGCAAAGAATCTTGTGCAGTTTATGAATTTCTTTACTGCATCATCACTGACTTTGGCATTTTTCCCATTTTGTTCCCTTATGACCTGGAGTAGTGTATATTATCTGACCAACACAGTGTGACTGTTTAAAATGTAAAATAATAAAACAAACCCAATAATTCTGTCAATAAAAAACATGCCCACAGCAAGATGCTGCCACCACTACCATACTTCACTATGGGATATTCTTGCAATGATTAAAAATTTTCTTCTTTTTTTAAGCTATGAACACTTTCATAA